CACTGATTCGTTGATTCACTGATTCATTGTTTCATTGATTCCTTGGGCCATTGATTCATTGCTTCGCTGCTTCATTGATTCATTGTTTCATTGCTTCATGGATTCATCGACTCATTACTTCACCTGTTCATTGATTCATTGGTTCATTGCTTCGTTGCTTCATTGATTCGCTGATTCCATTCATTGGTTTGGTTGTTTCGTCGTTTGCTTCAATGCTTCGTTCCTTCATCGATTTACTGGCTCATTGTCATTGATTCATCGATTCACTGGTTCATTGACTTCTTCAGTCAGTCGTGCATGGATTCCTTCATGTCCCCTCATTGGCATCTCAACAGCCATTTGCTGATTTGCTCATTCGTTGGCGCGCCTCACAACTTCAACACTTCGTTGCCTTTGCATCTCAAAATCTTTCCTATACTATAGGCCATCTTCTTCCTATAGTAGTTTTCTTTTCGAAACTTCCGCTCCGGCGCTTGCTGGGCACTATTGGTAATGACATGTAATGACTACAAACAACTGTACATTAATCTATAACCATTAGGGAGTGGAAGCGCCCGAAAATTCCTGATTCCTTGATGACCTTGGTCAGGAGCCCGACGCGGAAGACGAAAACCGCCATCGGAGTGCCCGAGGCGCAGGTGGATCACGTGGGAGGCGCGCAGCGATGGCCAGGGCATGGGGTGGATGATGGCTTAATATGGGATAGTAATCTGGGATGATAATTAGTAGAGAGAGAGAGATAGATATATATAAGATCTGACGTGGATATGCGGTGATATGACACATGAATTTGGACCTATGAATTTGAATAAATCATCAAACAAATCAATTTTTCAAGGTAATGTATGTGATCTGGATGATTTGTCCAAGATCTACGTCGGGTGGATTCCGTGCGCGGCAAGGCGTGCAGCGACGCTACGCGACTTGGCGGATGGGATGCTGGGCCATGGCATGCCATGGCAATGGCGGGTAAGGCCACATATCAAATACCCCGGCTAGGAAACATGGGCCTAAGTTGGATCAGGATGATCAGGTTGGATCTATGGTGCCTAAGGTTTTTATTTCGGGCATCTCCATTTCTAGCGGTTCATAACCCAGGTTGAATCCCGATTTTTTCTGTTGAAATCCTATTGTCTATAGTGGGCTACCAACAAATCCCAACAAATCTGAGTCTGGCCGTGTTCTGTGCCTCACGGCATGGTGCTGAATGCATCCGCACACTCACTCAGGTGGGTCAGCTGCGTTGGGGCCTGAACCGTTGGGCTAGGGGTGATGGATCCTATTCCATGTGAAACATGGAAAACATGGCAAAGGTTCCGCCCGTGGCATCCATGATCCATGGTATATATATATATAACTATATATATATAATTATATATATATATATAAATATGATTTATAAATCATTTTATCAATATCGTTAATAATAAGACACGCACACACAGACAGATAATATCATTCTACGTGAATTATATATAGTTACCATCATCCTTATCTTCCATCATTGTCCTCATGAACCACGCTGGAACGCTGAGGAGACTCCGAGCTGGGCGAGCGTTTGCGGAGGGCAGAAGAGATTCATGGCCTCAATACTCAAAGGACACGGGCCTCATGGGACCTCATCATGGAGGGATGCCAAGTGCCAAATCACGGAGCTCAGTGAACATAGGAGAGTCGGACCAGTGGTTGAAGTGGGGTGATATGCAGTGCAACTTTGTCACTGATTAGGACCCAAAATTGGGGGGCGTAATTGTCTTGGACCTGAAGCACTCCAATCTGGTCACACCTCTTGTCCAAAAAATTGGTTCAATGATGTTGAAGTTAACATATTGTAAAAGATTTCAAAGATTGATCATATGAATACCCACGTGTATGGATGTTTTTTGAAGGTAACACGGTAAAATCCATGTTTTCCCGCAACATTTCCCATACACCGCCATACATCCCCATAATCCGTGCAGGAAATTGCTGACAGAGGCTGAAGCCATTGCCCTGCTGCAGGGCGGCAGCAAGCGCCGCACCAGATGACCGGGCGTTCGGCGTTCGATGGGGGGAGCTCGGCGGATGCCAACAGAATTAGATCAGGGAACATTTACAGAAAAACACACTTGTAATGGTAAGAACCGGGGTTCCCAGGAGACAGATACAAGCAAAAAGATGCCAAAGCGAAAAACAACGCTTCCTGCAGAATCACCCTAAGATCAACCCAATGAGTCAATGATGAGGAAACCCTAAGAGCTTTGAGGGAGCACAGGGAGATGCCAATTTCGCAATGTTGATTCAGTCTGTCTTGGACACGTCAATTGGCATGCTCGTCCAACATTCATTCCCCACCTCCATGCATCTCCTGGAACCCATGAATTGGTGTATGTCAGAGTAAGTAAGACACCACATTTCCCATGCAGAAAATCAACAAGAAATGGCAGGAGTTTCCATTTTCAGGTCGGCCAGAAGGTCAAGTCAATGTCATACTGATAGCGTCATGATTCCTTACCCTTTCTGATCAAATGGCATTACAGTAATCATTAAAATGATCATTAAATCATATTAAATCTTCAAAAGTGTCCGTTTGTGCGAATGGCAGCATGTTTGTAAACCTGAAGGCATCGAATTCTTGATTTGTTGTGATTTTTGCATCGCTTGGGCTGTCCCCTGTCACTTTCATTGGATGTCACACGACACCGGAGATTGGTCAGAGAGCCGCTTTTAAAAGGAGCACCTTTGACTGTGGCTTTTGTTAAAGATGCTGTAACTGCTGCCGTGACAATTTTTACTTTGGGTCATACCTTTCATCAAGCACACCAAGACTACAAGGCAAACCAAACCACTGTTCCTCACCAGCGCGTAATTTTGCAGCAAGATATGGCCACATAGTTTTACTTTGGGTCATATCATACCTTTCATCAAGCACACCAAGACACTGTTCCTCACCATGCTGAGCAGCATAAATCTCGGATGCTGTGCCTGATTTTGCAGCCACATAATGGCCACATAATGATATGATATGTGTCTAAGCATGGCCCGGCATGGCTGATTCTTGGCGTCAAGCAATCGTAACTTTTCATCCCTTACTGAAAATGGTTAAATCATAATCAGAATCATATCACTGTCACTACTGGGTGGGGCACCCCAGTTAGTGGCTTATAAGTTATAAGTTATGACCCCAGTTCTAAATGGGGTGAGTAAGGTTGGTCCAGTTATACTTGTGGTATCTTGTGGTTATTACCAAGCTACCAGCTGGGGTGAAAAGATGATCTGAATATATCGGAATAATTCATCCCAGTTGACCTATACTTTCAGCTTGAAGCAACATGGCCCCGATGAGCATCTCCCTTTACTTTTACAAGGGACAATCAGTCATGGGGATGGGGGTCCCAATTCTCCCCAAGCAGACCCAGGTTAGATACTAGATGTGCCAATGTTTCTACGTGTTTGACCATGACTTTTGGAAGAGCCACCGGCATGCCACTGACAAGATAAGTAGCAGAAGAGATTGCTTGTTGGGTAAATCAGGATTCCCACAAAAACGTGCATCCTGCACGCAAAGCTCCAGTGGTTCACTGCCGCCATCGGCTGGAGGATATCTAGGAGGATAGCGCAGTGCTGGGTGCTAGTTCCTGTTTCCAATGGAGAGATTGTAGCTGGAGGGCCTTCCTGTGGTTAAGGCATCACCTGCTCTGAGAAACACCCAAATCTGAATCCCGTTTGGGAGGTTGCTGGGCGTGAAATGCTAGCTCCCTTTGGCATCCTTTGGCCACTTGTTAGTTTTTTTTCTTAAAGATTGGGGGTTATGTACTAGCCACCCCGTGAGAATATGTGAGAACACCAGATAGATTATGGATAGATTCAGTGAGATTACGACCCCACTTTACGAGCGGTGAGGCCAGACATGGCAAGACCAAGTGCTTTGGAAGCCAAGTTGGAAACGGTGACTGTGCCCAGAGATCTCCAGAGCTGGCTTCGTTGAACCTGCCGACGGGAGGATGACGGGAGACACTGCAGTAGGACAGTGGGACATGTTTCCCCTGAGTCAAATTCTGTTGGTTTGAGAGCCTGCCCCTCATTATTAATATTATTGCAAGATATAAATATTAAACAAAATATAAGATATTGCAAGTGGCATTTTGCTTACCCACACATTTTACAATAGTCATTTCACTATTGATTCACTATTGTTTGGTGATTTTTAATTTAAAATTGTTTGTTTCGATTTCTATCTGAAACGACTATAGAATCGACTACAAGGGATGCTGCGAGGCAGTGAGGTCAATGAAGCCAGTGACGTCTCACTTTACGCGGCATGGCATGGGTTCAGGTCTTGATTTGACATTTTGTAGGATATTTCACACTGGTGCAGTAAGGAGATGACTTGCGAAGTTTGCTATTTTAAACCAATTGGTCTCTACACAGGTAGATGAACAAAGGGACAATTCTTGAGAATTCCAGCGTTTCCTCCTTGATTTTTTTTGGACCATTGTTATTGCTTCTGAGGGTCATGTGATGTCAAGTCCATTCGTTGACGTTCCGGAACGGGAGCAGAACAGAACAGAACTGGCAGAAGACGTGTTCCCAGTTGCGTTAGAAAACAGACGATGCGGTGGCCGATGAGATGGGCTCAAAAATATTTTGTGCGATGTGGGAGATTCAGTGGTGGTCATTTTGAGTTATATATAGTAACCACCAAAAAGGATAAACATGCTAGAACCGTGAATTTTCACTATCTTATAATAATGAGGATTTTAATGGATTTTACATATTTTACTGCTCTATCTTTCTGGGGATGACTATAGTACAATTAGTAGAAATTTAGGAATGAATCTGGCAACTCTTGACATCATATGATGGATGTTCGGAAACCTGTATTCTCACTTGAGGGTTTTCCGATTCCGGACACACCTGCTCTTCCCTCGCTTTTGTGTTGCGAACGATTTCGCTATAGTGGTTCTACATGGTCCCAGAAATTGTGTGGTCATTTCCCATGGTGGCCTCCGTACGGGGCCATGGATCCACCCTCAGCACCCTCACCCTGGGCCCAGTGCTTCGACATCGTGAAGCATAACTTCGGAGCCACTGACCAGGTGCGACCATCAAAGGGCACCCCAAAGACAGTGGGGTTTGATGAACCCATAGTACCCATATTAATAGGGTGTTACTATCCGTTACTTTTTTCGCAAATTCATCCAAAGGTCAGGATAGGTTGGCATAAAAGGGTGGAGACCGCAAGACATCCATGAAAAACATAGCGGAAAGCCGCAGCTTTGTTTTCTGACATACCATGGGGACCAGATGCGTACCCATGATTGTAAAGCTGCAAGCTGTTGGCCAACCCAGCCAGGACCTTGAGCGGCTCTATAGACTGCTCAGTTTCAGGCCAGGGATTTTCCACAAGATGGAGATAGGGCATGCAAGCGGCAAAGAAGGGACGGGAACCCAGTATGAATTCTGAATTCTTTTGTATAAGTCTAGTATAAGTAGAAGGAAGGTCACACCACCTCAGTTTTTCAACATGAATCTTCAGATGACGTTGGTCGTTTAATTACTATCGGAGCCTGATGCTAGAATGGTTTTACATAATTCTTAAGCGCAAACTGTCTATGCTTCTCATTTAAAACTAACTTTGGTGTAAGATCATGGGCCCTGATCCATACAACACCTAAGCAGGGCCATTTCGCTTATTCAGATTCTTAAGCTAGGCTCTGTGTTGATCTAGCAGGCATCGGAAGATGATTTGGCCATTCATGACTTGGTCCATTAGAAATATCATCAAATATCAAAGCAGGGGCATTGATGTGGCCCCACCAGGAGCAAAGGGGGTCAAGTTCAAGTTGTGGCCAGTGAGCTTGGGCGAGCGCGGCTGCTGCCAAAGGAGGTCATCACGACCTTTGCCAGAGAGCAGTTGCACCCAGAGGGCGGATGGAACGCTGTGGCTAGCCTCGGCGTAACGGATCCCAGACTTGTTGTAAGGGAAAGCCCACAGGAGCTCCCAACATCCAAAACGGATTGCAAAACATAATGGGCAACATGAAACGCAAAAGACATGGTATGCAGAGTCTATAGATTCGTCCTGTTGGTAGGTTGTTGTGCCAAAGTAAGCGTACAAGGGGGTGTTTTCAAGGATTTCAAGAATGACAAGCGTTGCAGTTGCAGGATGCCAGGAACACATATCCCTTTTGAGCGAGGAAAAAAAATTATCTTTCAGACCCAGAATATTAAAAGTTCTTGTCCTTTTGGGGAAGGGCCTACAAGCATCGGGATAGACTATTTTCGCAGCTTCAAGAAGGTGATTTTGGAAGGCAGGCCTTCTTCGCATTTAGCCGCAACTATACGATTGCTGTCACGCGAGCGACAGCTCTTTGGAGTTCAAACTTTGGCACTTGCGTCCTCAACATATGCAATAAGAACTGTTGCTCTCTGGGTGCGGCCTTATCTTTGAAGCCGATGCTAGCATCATGAAAGATATGTCTCTAAGGCCTCGACGCCCTCCTCCAGGTTCGGCTTTCTATCTTGATCTTATGATCTAATGTGCGCCTTATATGGTCAACTCCTGTATGTTCATGCAGGCCGTATTTTTTGTTGGTGGTGGTTGGGTTGCCGTGGTTCCTCTTGTTCCTGCTCTTGTCCTCCTTGTTGTTGTTGTTGTTGTTGTTGGCGGCTCTTGTCGCTTCCCCGCAACGCCCCAAGGCAGCCACTCACATAGTTGCCATAGAAGCCATAGAATTCCCGCACGAGCCTTGTGCATGCTGCCGGACCGAGGAGACATCCCAAAGAGTACCATCCTCAGAAATTCACGATATATATATATAATTATATATATATGTATGTATGTATGTATGTAATGTATGTATGTTATGTATGTATGTATGTATGTATGTATGTATGTATGTATGTATGTATGTATGTATGTATGTATGTATGTATGTATGTATGTATGTATGTATGTATGATGTATGTATGTATGTATGTATGTATGTATGTATGTATGTATGTATGTATGTATGTATGTATGTATGTATGTATGTATGTATGTATGTATGTATGTATGTATGTATGTATGTATGTATGTATGTATGTATGTATGTATGTAT